AGCAAAGTGCTGCCTGGAAACTTTCCCACACAGTGCTGATGGGCCCAAAGGAGCAGCAGGGGGCAGTGCCTGGGAACGGCAGGGGACACTGAGCCACGTGCATCCCTGGGGGGCTGCGCCAGGTAAGCACCCCGCCCCCTCATTGCCCAGACCCTACATCCAGCCTAGCAGAAGTGGAAAGTAAGTAAGTAGAAATACTTCGTTACACTACATTTTTTTTTCAGTATTTGTACTTTACTTGAGTAATGTAATGGTTGTGACACTTCGACTTTTTGCTCAGGTAGGGTTTTTTGGGGGGTTTTTTAGAAAATTTTTTACTTTTTACTCCACTACCATTTCTGGAAGCACTTAGACACTCACTACTTTCATCACCCCACTGACAGCTGTGCAAGCTGGCATTCTGATTCATTAAAGCACAGACGCATGCGCAAAGCATCCAATCGGCATGCAGTAACTGGTGTGGGGTTTTTTTGTTTTGTTTTGTTTTTTTTTAAATCCACCAGTCAACAAGGATGATGACCCTGCCAATGAAGAAGCCTTTTAATAGCTGCTGCAAAAAGGTTTTCTTTTGAAACCAGGATCTGTGCAGGGGTGGAGAGCCCCCCGCCTCGTGGGCCGGATCCAGGGTGTGGGGGAGAAGAAGCGCGGAGCTGCTTACCCACCCCCGGCGGGGGGAATGAGGTGCTGGAAACCACTCGTGGGAAGGTTTCTTTGCTGCTCCCTATGGCCCCCCCCCCCCCCCCCCCCCCCCATCACCACTCAGCTCTCCCAGCATAGGTGCACTCCTGCACCCTCCCACTCTTTCAGACACCACACCCTCAGCTCGCTCCTAAATCTCCACTCCCAGCCCACTCCAGCACCCTACCTCCCACCGTCACCCCCCTCCCTATCCAACTCCCTGGCAGCACCCTCCTGCACATGGCACCCCTCATTTTGGCTTCACCCTAGAGCTGGGGGGGGTGCTCACAAAATCTGCTAACCCAGGGACCCCAAAAGAGCTAAGATGGCATGTGGGAAGCCCAGAAGCTTGGTCCTCCCTGTCTCTTCTCCCCACCCTGGGGCTGGAGCACCAGGGGAGTGAAGTATCTCAGTTGGGGGGGGGGGGGGGGGGGGGCACATCAGTGAGGGTTGGAGTTTTTTGGTTTTTTTGGGAGGGTGGGGGTTGCCTCTCACTTGGGTGGTCCCCAACTGATTTTTCTGTAGGTCATTGGCCTCCTCTGATGAAGAAGACTGCTTTGCTTAAGTGAAGTCCTCTTGCACAAATGAAACTACAAGGCAACTTTATGGGTATTCAGTCTGCTCAGCAAACACCATGGATCTGCTGCGGTCCTTTCCTACACTCCAGGGGAGTGTCCATCAGGCCCAATACACCTCTGTCCTCCTCAGCTACCCGTGGGAGACTCTTCATTATTGCTGGACTCCTATTTTGTCCTATGAGAGCAAGGCTTGACTCTGATTATTTTTGAAAATCAATTGCTTATAAGGTTGAACAAACGTTTTTATAATTAATCATTACAATTCTAAAATGCTAAAAATGGATGCTTGTGAATATCAACAAAATAAATACATTTCTGTAATTTGACTCCTGTATTTAATTTGGTCACTCTTTTTAGCTTTATAAATGAAGGATCCAACTGCATTTACATTCCAGATTTGAAATATAAATGTATAGTGTGTGTGTATATATTACATATATACATCCACATATACATACACACCCACAGGTACTGTGTATATATATGTACATGCATATTGTGTGTATACATATGTATGAGATATGTTCCCTATGATAACTTGGGTGGTTAACCATAGATTTCCATAGGCTGGCTATTTTTTACTTCTGGGTACTTGAGTACAATTAAGATGTGATACTTTTGTACTTTTACTCAAGTAACTTTTTTGGGTACTTTTTCCACCACTGCTGCCTACTCTTCCCACGCTCAGCCCACTCCTGCACCCTGCCACCCAGGACCCACTCTCCAAGCCCTCTTCCTCGCAGCTCCCTCCCACACAGTGAACCCCTCATTTTTGGCCCCATGCCTGAGTAGGTGAAGACCCACAAAATCTACTAGCCTGATGTGTGAGGGGACTATGGAGAGTGTGTTTCTGCTTCTCAGTTGGGGGCCACGTCAATGAGGTAAAGGGTTTTTGTGGTGTGTGTGTGTGTGTGTGTGTAGGGTTGCCCGATAATTTCACAAAAAAATCCTGGACCATGGCAGGGAAAAAAATTGGTTGAGCAAAAAAAAAAGGGGGGGAGGGAGGGGAGACCAAACTTGTTAAGCAGAAAAAATAAAGGGGGGGGGGATCACTGCACCAGCCTTCTGGCTGAGAAACAGAAAACAAAAGACATTTTACATGTCTGGTGTTTTCTGTGTTTTTTTACCAGACAGAAGATGCAATTGCCGGACTGTCTGGGTGAAAACTGGACACCTGGCAACCGTGTGTGTGTGTGTGTGTGTGTACAGGGACAGGGGTTTCTGCATCTCACTTTTGTGTGGTCCCCTATTGATTTTTCTGTGGGTCAGCAGCCCCTAAGCCAAAAAAGGTTCCCCACCCCTGCGATAGGGCTTGAATTTACAGAGCTGAAAGCATAAAGTCCTATCCTAATTCCTCAGCTGCACAGTCGGGCACACCCGCTTACCAGAGGTGAAGGTGATACATTCCCCTAGGATTGTGTTGCCTACAGCATGTGAATTCATGATAGCAGCAGTATGTGTTTTAGGCAAAAGTGACTACTTGGAGACCCAGCCATGTGCTGTGTGGTAATGCTCCAGGGGATGTGCTGTCCCTCTTCCCCACACCCGGTGCAGAAAATCTACTGCTGGGCCCTGATTTCTTCTCACTAACAAAACCAGGGAATGGGAAAGACTCACAAAAGGGCCTTAATCTTCCCTCTGAGCCTGGGAAGGGGAAAAAATCTCAGACACATTATCCTCCATCGAGCTGCTTAAAGCCCCTCGACTCTATGTTGACAACAAAAGCAGCCGCAAAGATGTGACTCTCTCCCTGTCATAAGGGATAGGAGAGGCAATGATACTCCATCCACCGGCATAACTACAATGCAGTCACGCCTTATTTACAGCAGCCTCTGCCAGCTGAGAATCAGGCCAAGCATCCTGGCTCAGTCTGGAAACCAACGCCAGCCTTGCGCATGCCAAGGGCTGCCACACACGCTCCTCCTCTGCATGTTTGTAAAACAATCTTTTTAATTTTCTGGTTGGCTTGGCAAATCACAGCTGCTCGTTCCCCAGAGCTCCTGAGTGCGTTTGCACAGGTTCCCATTTACATACAGGAGGGCTTTAGCTTTCCTTCGCTCAGCATGCCTCAGAAATAAGCCATCTGAAATATTACAGATGGCTTAGGGGCGGAACTATTTACGGGCTATGCAGGGAGAACAGAATGGAGGGCCACATCATGAATTAGACAAGTCTGACTTAACAGCAGAGTCCCAGTTTGTTGTGGCTGCCCTGTGGTGAAGGATTACACAAGGGTTTGCTCTCCACTTATTATTTCTTTAACTCAATGGCTTTGCAGGGACTCAGCCGGAGCCAAGGTGGTTGAGTATTAATTGATACTTGCTGCTGAGTGAGGCTCATTAAACACCAGCTTTGGAGGGGCATAAGAGGCAGCAGTGAGTTCAGGACTAAAAACTTCATTCTCTGCCAGCATCTGTGATTGCAATCACAATGCCAGAAACACAACAACAGCACCCCCACCCCACCCCCCAAAAGGCCCTTATTAGTCTCCCACAAATGCCTCCCATTCAGGGAAATGACAGGGATTTGCTCAGCTTGCCATATTTTGCAGCTGGGTTAATTATTGTCATTTCAACGGGCACTGCCCAACCTCAAAATGAAAGAAAAACATATCATAATAGTTCTTGCTAATTCTCAAGCAAAACCTTTGTACTGAGTGGCAGTGGGGGGCCTCTCTTCATGGGCACAGAGACTGGGGGTGGTGGGGGGGAAGTGGTATTAGCATTCTAGAGTGATTAATGCAGTGTAATTGTGAACATGGTGTAATTAGGGGGCTAATTTATATGTGCACCTGACAACAGCATAGCTCGTTTGCTGCTGCTCTTGTGTTGCTAATGTCCTAGTAGCTAGATAAGCCACTCCGTGGGGGGCCTCTCTTCATGGGCACAGAGACTGGGGGTGGTGGGGGGGAAGTGGTATTAGCATTCTAGAGTGATTAATGCAGTGTAATTGTGAACATGGTGTAATTAGGGGGCTAATTTATATGTGCACCTGACAACAGCATAGCTCGTTTGCTGCTGCTCTTGTGTTGCTAATGTCCTAGTAGCTAGATAAGCCACTCCAAACAGTATACTCCTCATCTGCATATGAAAAGCTGGCAGGTTCACAGAACAAAAGATATGGGGAAGGGGGAGGGGCAGACTAGGACAAAGGGGGAAAAGGAGTGTGGCTACAACAGAAAACAGCAAACATTTTGGACAAAGAAAGAGGTGGAGAAAGGGACCAAAAAAGGGAGGGGGACACAGACAAGTCAAGAGGGAAAACAAACACGGGGGGAGGGGAAATGACACAGAAGCACATATAGAAGGACTGGAAAAGTGTGGCCCCTTTTTAAGGGTTGGGTTGCTTGGTGCACCTTCCCCCTCTCTGGTTTACCACTGCTCCTGCCACCCAGACAGCGATGTCTAGGGTTGCCAGATGATTTCAACAAAAATACTAGACACACTTGACATTACAACACAGTCTACATTATGTGGTATGTAGAAAATACCAGACATTTCTATTGTCTCATTTGTATTTTCTCAATTTGTTTCCCGAACAGAAAGCTCAAATACTGGACTGTCCGGTTCAAAACCGGACACCTGGCAACCCTAGATGTCACCCTAGTATGTCAGGGCACTCCGAAGGTTTCTGTGGGGCCCTGCTTGGGAAGTTAGAGCTGCTGGAGATGCCTTGGTGGATGTTTAGTTTGGAAGCATGCTGTGCACACAAGGCACATGACCTGTGAAGTTTGTACTCATAGCCACAACTTAATATCTGCTAGGACTACATCTGTGAGGAGGAGCATGGAGGTCTAGGTCTGCTTCCAAAGATGGATTCCTGGTTGCCTCTCCAGTCCTAATCCCATGCAAGCCCACTCGGGCTCAGCCTATCTTAAAGGCTCAGTAACTTGGCATCTTGTCACTTAGTCAGGTATCTAAAAGGGTGTCATAAGGAGGAGGGAGAAAACGTGTTCATCTTGGCCTCTGGGGACAGAACAAGAAGCAATGGGCTTAAACTGCAGCAAGGGAGGTTTAGGTTGGACATTAGGAAAAAGGTCCTAACTGTCAGGGTAGTCAAACACTGGAATAAATTGCCCAAGGAGGTTGTGTAATCCCCACCTCTGGAGATATTTAAGATTAGTTTAGATAAATGTCTATCAGGGATGGTCTAGACAGTATTTGGTCCTGCCATGAGGGCAGGGGACTGGACTCGATGACCTCTCGAGGTCCCTTCCAGTCCTAGTATTCTATGATTCTATGATGCCAGCATAACAACCCCCACAAAAACAGAGGATGCCAAACAACTTGTGTGGGGTTAGTTCAAGTGAGCTTCTGAGCTCATTACTTCAACAGCTTCATATTCCCCTTGCATACTGGAGCCCAGCCTAGTAGATTGCTCCAGCCTTGCAGTGGGGTGGCTGGCATGCCAGCACAGGCTCCCCAATGCTGGAGGAGAGGTTCTTAGGGGCTGTATCTTGTCCCCAGGCTTTAGGTTCCCACAAAAGCCTTGCAGAAGGTAAAGTCTTTTCACTCCTTAAATAAGTATCAATAGGGCCATTACCTATTTGATCCTGAGCTCTCTCTTCTGTTGCTTCACAAGGATCTCCTGCCCAGCAGCTCTCTGTGGTTAGAACTCTCAGTCAACTTTGCTAGCTAAAAGCTGGTAATGTGCAACACCTGTGCAAACTACAAAGCAGGGTTCCATGGCCTGGCTCTAAGGAGGAACACAGGGAGTACACCTTGTAACTCTGGTCTATTGTTCTGAGAGTGTTTTATGTGCCTAAGGAGCTGTTTGGCTCCCATGAGATAGGAAATTAAAACTCCCATGCAGTGAAGAGAAGAGCAGAAAAGAATATGTGACAATGAAGCAGCTTCTAAGTGCCCAGGTAAATCAGAGGCTGAGTTATAAGCCCTTCTCCTGTTCCTACATATGTAATGGAGTCAATGTGCTTTATTCCATGATTGAGGAATGAATAATATAATCTCACTTTTTCTTGGGGAAAATAATTTCATTTATTTTCTGATTAGCAGTCATTTAATTTTTGCTACTTTGCAGCTTTAAACTACAAGAAACTAGAAAAGGGTTGCAGTTATGAGCCCATCAACTTCTGCAAGGAAAGTTCAGGTTCTTGGGGCTGTGGTTTAGGTTGGAAAAGCACACTGAAAATAAAATATGTCCATGTTTTTGGGAAGTACGATATGATAAGGCACCATGGTCATACCTAGAACTGGTTGTTGGAGGTTTTCTAAAGTATTCCTGTTCACCTTTAGAGGCAAAGGCTGGTTTTGTTCCCATCTGGGTTGGGGGTTGGA